CAGTCTCAAAGGATATTAAACAGATGTGCTAATAATGTATAATGATGATAAATCTTAATAAGGTAGACTTAGGTTATTGTGAGAGAGACAATATGGATACTGAACTCTGATTGGAGAGGAGGTCAGAGAAGGCCTTTCTAAGAAAGGTATTTTACCTGAGACCTGTTTAATGAATAGCCAGGCTGAAGCATGGTGAGGAAAAGTGTTCTAGTAGGTGGAACAGAATAGACAAAGCTCAGGAGGTAGGAACCTCCTCATCTTGGCCTGTTGAGAGAATGGGGATGGGCTACAGAATATGGTAACCAAGGTGATGTTGGGAAGGGAGGCAGAGACCAGACCCTTCTAAGCTATGATGTGAAATTGAGCGGTTTTGTTTTTTTCCCAAGTATAGCGAAAAGTAATTGAAGTAACTGACATAACTCCCTTTAATTTTTAAAATGATGCTTAGCTATTCACTGAAGGTGACTTGTAGAGGCAAAAGTGGAAGCAGGAAGCCTGTAGGGAGATGACTGCAGAATCCAGATGGCAATAGAAAGGGGGAGAAGCAGCCCAATTTGATGCTATAGGGTGGAGACAGAATCAACAGGTCAACAGGATTGATTAGATGCAGAAGAAGAAAAGAGTGAGGTTTTTTGTTTGAGTGACTGGGTGAATGAGTAGCAGGTGTGAGCAGTTTTGTGTTTAGAATCTGAGACATCGCAGTGGTTATGTCAAGATGATAATTGTTGTAAGTCTGGAGTTCAGAAGATAAGTCTGAGCTGAAGATGTAAACACATTTGACAGAGGGATATACAGACAGTATTTAAATCACACTCAATATACTGATGTAGAAAGATATCCACAATGCATTTTTAGGGTGAAAAAAACAGTAGCAGAACAGTATGTTCGATATGATTCCAAATGTGACAGAAACTATGTTTACATAGATACACATATGTTGAAGCAGAAAGTGCCTTGAAGAATATAGATATCGAACAGTAGTAGTCATCTTTGGGGACTGGCAGGTAGCAAAGAGATGGAGGCCAATCTTTTTTATTTATAACCTCGGTACAGTTTTTTTTTTTAAAGAAATTACTTTTTATAACTTTAAAATAAACTTATCCACTAGGCTGTTCTGTAGTTTGATACTATTAATTGTTAGGGAACCATTGACTGAAACTGCCCACCTTGGCCAGGCACAATAATGACCATATGCTTAAGTTATCTCACAACAGGAGGCCCCAGTAAGGAACATGGTGCTGCCACCAAAAACTGGGAGAGTTTGGGAGGGGCCAAAAGGAGAGAGGAGACGCCATGATACTGTCCTACCAACCTCCCACAATCCTTCACACTGGGATTCATGTTGGCTGAGAGATGCGTGGGCCACTAGAAAAGACCCTGAGATCAAATATGGGTCAAGCAAGATGACTGGCCAGAGACAACCTGGAAATTAATTCTATGACCATAAGTGCTAGTGGTAAAAATCCCACCTGCCAATGCAGGAGACTTAAGAGACATGGGTTCAATCCCTGGGTCAGGAAGATCCCCTGGAGGAGGGCACAGCAACCCACTTCAGTATTCTTGCCTGGAGAATCCCATGGATGGAGGAACCTGGCAGGCTACAGTCCATAGGGTAGCAAAGAGTTGGACACGACGGAAGCAACTTAGCACTAGCACCATAAAACCTGGGACTGTGAGCCAGGTGGCAGAGTAGTTCTGGGTTCCCTTACCTCCTGCTCTCTGCCCAGCTGCCCTTTCCCAATAAAGTCTCTTGCTTTGTCAGCACATGTATTTCCTTGGACAATTCATTTCTGAGCGTTAGAAAAGAGCCCACTCTCAGGCCCTCTTTCTGCAACATAATTAGGAGGCTGTTAGCTGCATGTTTCTGAGGCTCTTCCCAGTACAGATTACTACCCCATGGGCATGTCAACACAAGGGTTTCTGGAGTTTTGATTATTTTGACAAACATGCATTGACGACGCCTTTCTGCTAGTTCTGCCAAGTCAGGCATGACCAAAACACAGTCCCTACACTTGATCTTTCAACTGTTAGATTTTCAACTGACTATTGAACAAAATGATAACAAGATGAGCAAAGGATCTTGGAATTGAAAAATTAATCCTGCAGGATCCACTCTGGTAGGCTTGACAAAAGGGGTGACATTTCATTCATTCAATCATGAATTGATCCAAGAGTTTATGAATAGATTGAGGTATTACTATGTTCCAGACAAAATCACCAGCCTTATGGAAATTCCATTCTAGTTCATATTTCACAGCAGTTTCATATTTCTATTATATATAATAGAATTTACCAGGCAGAGCTGGAAAGAAGTAAATTCTAGGCTGGGGAACCAAGGGCTGGAGATGCTAAAGTGCAAAGAAGCTGTGGAACTGTAGGAATATTGCCTGGAGAAGGGGAAGGGCGTGTGGGGTATAAGACTGAAAAGGAGGTTAGGAAACTTAGTATAAAATTCTTGCTGCAAAACTTAGATACTTCTTGAAGGCAATTTAGACATTAATCAGGAAAGTCATTTTAGAGACTACCTTTAGACCAGAGTCTGGAGAATAAATGGAGGTAAAGTACACCAGACACTTGGAAACCAGTCAAAGATTTTACATGAATCAAAACAAGAAAGGAAGGGAATTGAAATAAAGTGTACTCTGTGAGTGTAAAAGGTGGAGAACAGATTTTAAACATCTCATAAATCCAATAAGACAACTTGTGCAGGGTAGATGTGGGGACTAAAGGAGTGTCACAGATAACTCACTCCAAAACTCCAGGCTTTAACTTGGTGGTATTATTTTCTGGGAGGATGAAAACTGAATGATCTGAGGAGGAAGATGGTGAGTTCCATTTCACACAATCTAGTTCAAATGGCAGCCCAATAAATAGTGGAGGACTTTAGAGAAACAGTTTCAAAAGCCAAACTGCAGAGGGCTGAGAAGTTAGAATTTGAAGCAGACAGTGTAGACTACCTAATGCAGTTTTGGAACAAATGACAGAGACAGATGAGATAGCTGGGTTGATGGTTGGGGTGTGACAGAATGAGAGAGCTTGGTAAGTCAAGTGAAGTAATAGGTTGCCATGAGAGTGTGGTGAAAATATTTCTGGGTTCCAGTGGGTAAAGCAAAGCCAAGAGGATCTAAGAGCTAGACCAGTGATTTTTTTTTTTTTAACAGCTAGGTTTTTATTGTTTATTATTATTTATTTATTTATTTTTGGTTGTGCTGGAGCTTCCTTGCTGCGTGCAGACTTTCTCTAGTTGCGGTGAGCAGGGGCTACTCCCCAGTTGTGGTGCATGGGCTTCTCATTGCAGTGGCATCTTTTGTTGCGAGCACTGGCTCTTGGCACGTGGGCTCAGTACTTGCGGCACACCGGCTTAGTTGCTTCAAGGCATACGGAATCTTTCCAGACCAGGGATTGAACCCATGGTCCCTGCAATGGCAGGCACATTCCTACCCACTGTACCATCAGGGAAGTCCTAGACCAGCAATTCTTGACTGGTCATTAGAATCACCTGAAGGGCTCATTAAATCACAGATTGCTGGGCCCTACTCCAGAGTTTCCAATTCAGTAGGTCTGGGGTGGGGCCCAAGCGTTTGCATTTCTAACAAGCTCCCAGATGCTGATGCTGCTGACCTGGAGGCCACACTTTAAAGATTTTTAAACCTTTAAAGGAGCAAAGTATTTAGCAGCTAGCAAATGCTGAATAATTTTCTCAGTGAATGGATAAGAGTGCTTATATTCATCCCTGCAGTTAAAGACTAGCTGGAAGGTAGGGCCACAAGGAAGGATAGAAGATGGTGGTCAGAGAAGAACTTCAGAGTTTGAAGTCAGAGAAGGTGCAGTTTTTGGTGAAAAAAGTCCAGGATCACCCCTGCCAGGGGAGTGAGGAGAGGTCAAGGAATTGAGAACTGCAAGGGTCATTAAAATGGATCACATTTAGTGAAGGCCTGAGTCTAAAGGGAAGTGCCAACAGGAAGTCAAGCTCTGAAGGGGAGTCTGCCTACTTCCTGGGTCTGAATTATGTAGAGTTGACTGTACACCCACAGACATTGTAACCCATCCAGGTTAATGCACCAGTACAGGTAACACATGGTCAGGGAAGCTGGGGACCCTGTGACGGCTCTGTTTGCAAGTCCTACAAATAAAGTCTGGGCCAGGTCCCAGCTTTTTTGGAGGGAGCTCTACAGTGCAGATCACAACAACAGTCTGGGGATTTCAGCCCTATGATCTAGAAGTGACTTGTAAAGAATAAAGTTCCACAAGTTTAGCATGTTCACAGATTAGAGATGTTAGCAATGATTCTGAACCCTTTATAGCCTCCCCTTTACAGCTTCACAGGGGCCGCGTTCAGATCGCCCCTGTACGGGCATGGGTGTGAGCGACTAGGTCTTAGATTAGGCTTTCCGCCTTCTGCTTCCAAGAGGTCACTGGTGGCTCAGACGGTAAAGAATCTGCTGGCAATGAGGAAGACCGGGGTTCGACCCCTGGGTCAGGAAGATACCCTGGAGAAGGGAATGGTAACCCACTCCAGTATTCTTGCCTGGGAAATTCCATAGACAGAGGAGCCTGGTGGGCTACAGTCCTTGGGAACACAAGAGTCAGCCACGACTGAAGCGACTTCAGCATGCAAGCACATACAGAGTTATTGAAATCACAGAGTACGTGTAAAGTTCTGGACACACACTGAGCACCCTATAAACACGAGTTACGATTTGTTACATTGCACGGGTCCTTGTCAGTGTTCCCGATACGTGTGCGGTCTCCCTTAACTATTGGGGCGCTCTTTCCCTTCACTTTTCCCAGCCAGACAGCATTTGGCGATGCTGGTGACTGGTTGGGTTTACGCACAGGGAGGAGCCGGGAGAAAAGCGTGCGCAGCAGCTAAAGGACTTGCAGTGGCGCCTACCAGCCGCTGGGGGCGCGGGGCCCCGGAGTTCTTCCGCCCCCAGAGGTCAGAGGTCACGGGGCCGCGTAGGAGAAGCTTTGCGTCGCGGCTTCCCAGTCCTGGCCATATGGCGCCGGCGCAGCGTTGTCCTCTTTGCCGCCAGACTTTCTTCTGCGGTCGCGGGCATGTCTACAGTCGCAAGCACCAGCGGCAGCTAAAGGTGGCTTTGGAGCGGCTCCTGCCGCAGGTACGGACGGGAGGCTGGAGGGGACCGTGGACGGCCCGGGGCGGGGCTGCGGGCGGGGCTGTGAAGGCCCGAGGGGGTGGGATCTGGGGATCCCGCCGGGGTCCTACTTAGCCTGTCTGCTTTGGCATCCTCTCCGCCGCAGGTGGAGGCCGCCCGCAAGGCCGTCCGCGCCGCCCAGGTGGAGCGTTACGTGCCCGAGCACGAGCGATGGTGCTGGTGCCTGTGCTGCGGCTGTGAGGTGCGGAAACACCTGAGCCACGGAAACCTGACCGTGCTGCACGGGGGGCTGCTGGAGCATCTGGCCAGGTGAGCGCCGGGCCCGGAACCCCTTACAGCGGTAGTGTATTAACAGGTTTATATTAATCTATAAATTAATGGAGGGAGGGTTTAGGGTGGGTGAGAGGAAGAACGTTTTGTGATTTGATAAGGTTGGATGATTCAGTCATCTTGTAGGCATGGCCAACCTTGAGGGTTAGGCCTTATGGTCCCAGTGGTCTCAGTGCTGGGGATGGCCTTCATTGGACAACTGGCTCAGTCAAGGTTCCTTCCCATCACTTCCTCTCAGATTGTCACATTTTTATTGGAAGGGGGAAACTGGAGAACTTGAGGAAACTACTGTCAGTATTCTGTCAGCCTTGCCCAGAGATCCAGGTGTCAGTTTGCCTTATTTATCAAATGCCATGTAATATTCTGTAATCTATCATTGAGATTACTTGTCCTTTCCATTCTCAGTCCAGAGCACAAGAAAGCAACCAACAAATTCTGGTGGGAAAACAAGGCTGAGTTCCAGATGAAAGAGAAGTTTTTGATCTCCCCCCAGGACTTTGCACGGTGAGTCATTCCTCCACATGATGAGGTAGCAGAGTGTGGATTCTTTGCATCTGTGTCAGGAGCTTCCTCTCCTAATTGTAAAGTTTAGTAAGGACTTCATTAGTGACCATTGTCTTTGTAGCACTCATTATTCTAGGCACCATGTTGAACACAAATGAATATATGACCGAGTCCTTGAAAGGTTTATAATCTAGTTGGGGGGGGGGGGATTTACAATATATTTAGCAAATAGAGAAGCGTATAATAAAAGCTGACCATAGTCAACCACTTTAATATGTAACAGAGAGACTACTAAGTTTCTTTAGAAATAGAAGATGCTTTTTATAGAGTGCAAAAAACTGATGCTTACCCAGTGCTCACTTTTAATAGTTTTAACTGGCCTTGGAGGGCCCCAACTACCTGGAGTGCAGGAAGCTTGGCAGCACAGAGGGGCTGAGTTGTGACTGCCTCAGAAAGAGGACTCAGGCAGCCTCACATCACCACTTTTATTGGGACTGTATTGAGATTATGGAGAGTGGAACCCAAGGGGATCCCAAAGTTAAGAAAATACATAGTGTTTATTAGTATTCCTTTCTACTCAGTGTGGAGAATAATGAGGAATTAAGAAGTACTTAAACCCCATCACCTTGTCTTCCAGTCTGTTGTTCAGGCCGGGAAGAAATAAGAAACTGCGGCCAGGGCTGTCCCTGGTGGTTCAGCGGTTAAGACCAGTGCAGGGGGTTCAGGTTCTTGGGAGCAGAGATCTCACATGCTTTGTGGCCAAAACAGAAACAATATTGTAACAAATTAAAGACTTTTTAAAAAGTGGTCAAAAATTAAAAAAAAAAAAGAAACTGAGGCCACTTACTTGTTATAGCCTGACCCAGCTCTGCATAATTTTTGGTGGATGAATAAAGGGTAGTTAGCAGAAAGGTTATAACTGAGAATTATATGGATGGACTCTCTGAACTTTTTATGTAAATATAGTTTTGATTTTTGAACTTTATAAATTTCAAGCTCACACAAGACTAGGCCAGGCCAGGCTTGACTGATTTGACCCGTAAAGATACAAATGAGCTACTTTTAGATTCAGGCAGCTTATTACTTACATAGGCAGTGAAAAGAGTAAGCCCAAAGTACCAGCTTCCCAGGTTGTCCCACACACCAAAAAGGACCAAAGTGATACAAATAGGGCTGGGTGACTGTAGCATGAACTGTGGGATACTGTTGTTGGGGAGCCAAGACTAGACTGCAGCTACAGGCTTTATATCTGCAGCTCTAATCTGAGAGCAGAAAGCCCCATACCCCATCAGAACTGGGAGTTAATTAAAAACTGTTTCCTAACGGCCTCCTCTGAGAGATAAGGAGACGAGTGGGAGATGGCCTCCTAGCAGTTCCTTTCAGACCTCCTGTCCTTTTGTGTTCCTGGAGGATCATTCAAACCTTTTGTCAAGACTTTGATAAGTTGCAGTTCAAGGCTTTGCCTGTAAGGTCTGCCAGGGCACCATGGTAGAGCCATTAATGTTTTACATATTAATATTAGGCAAAGACAAATTATCATGTAACTTAATCAAATTGGTAACAATGACAAAAAATAAGAATTTAAGTAACATCTTAAAAAAATTTTTTTGGGGGGCTGCTCTGGGTTTTGGTTGCAGCGTGTGCACTTTCTCTAGTTGTGGAGGGGGGGCTACTCTAGTTGCAGCCTGCAGGCTCCACAGTGCCGGTTCAGTAGTTGGGGGCACGAGCTTAGCTGGCTCGCATCATAAGGGATCTTCCAGGACCAGGGACTGAACTGGTATCACCTGCATTACAAGGTGGGTTCTTAACCACTGGACCACCAGGGAGGCCCAGAATTCAAGCAACATTTGAAAACAAAAATCTGTACACCCTTAGAAGGATATTTTCCAAGGATTAAAGAACTGCAAAGAAATCTTGAGCTTTACTTAGTAGTCTCGTTGATAGTAGTACTGATATTATGCAGATATCTTTGTGTGTATTGTAGGATAAAAACTATTGCAAATATATTGTCCCAAATATGGGACAATTTGGACATCAGAAAAGGGTAACTGATTTTTCTTCTTTAAAGTACGGTAATGGTTTCATAGACTGTTCCTTTTCCCAGGAAATGCATGCTGAAAAATTTAGAATTAAGTCTCATGTTCTTGAGAGAGAGGAAATGTGTTTGTAAGAGAACTGGAGCCAGCATGGCAGAATGTTAACAGTGGATATGGGTGAGAGGTACATGGGTGTTCATTGTACTACTGAGATTTAGTTTCTGGGAGTCTGACACTATTCAGAATCTAGAGAAAAATGATCTACTGAGGATCTTTTCACACTAGCAGGGATTGGGATTCTGGGGTGACTTGTCCCTTTCCTTTTTAGATTCAAGAAATCCATGGTGAAAAGTCTGGATTCCTATGAGGAAAAAGAGGATGAAGTGATTAAAGAGGTGAGTTAAAGGAACGGCCTCTGAAGGACCCAGCCCCATCTTCTGGTACCTGTCTGAGTCACCCCTCTCCCACAGATGGCAGCTCAGATCCGAGAGGTGGAGCAAAGCCGGCAGGAGATGGTTCGGTCTGTCTTAGAGGTTGGTTTCCCTCGGAAGAGCCAGAGCAGTATCCAAATCCACTGATTCCAGGTCCAGCATTTCACCTACCAGCTCTTCTGATGAAAAATTTATGGACTCCATCTGCTTGTCTTGACTTCCCTTCCCTGCCCACCAGGGGGCAGGCCTTACCAGTGGGGAAAACGTGGGCAGGGCTGGGAGGGAGGGAAGTTGCCAGATGGGGCAGTATCCTCAATTTGTCAATTTGTTTACTTCTGGAGGTGGGGAGCATGGCCTAGGCAAATTCTTAAGCATTCTAGACACATTTATTTTTCCTGAATCAAACTCAGCCTCAGACAGTGCCAGACCCAGAAGAGGGCTCTTCAGCACCTGGAAGCCGGAAAGGGACAAACAGGTAAAAGACTGTTAGGAGACCTCTTATTGGACATTCTGACATCTCAGGACATTCTGTAACTTTGATCGACACATGGAAACAAATCTCATTCTTGCTGTCCTCATGGCTCAAGGACCTAGTCTGCCAGCCTGGCTCCTGTTTTGTCTTTTTCAGCCAAGTAGCCTCCACCTCACAGCAGCCCTCATACTTGGACCTGCCACCAGCCCCAGAGCTTGACTGGATGGAGACAGGACAACCTCTGACATTCATTGGTCATCAGGTACAATGGATAAGCACGTTGGGAAAGGGCTAATGCCCCCTCAGTTCCCAGGACACCCATCTTCCCTGGCTTTTCTGTATATTCTGGCTGTTCCTGTGTTAGTAGGCTTTTCCCTCTTACTGCCCTGTTCCGTAGTATCATGTTCTCATTCTTCACCCTCCATGGTATCCACTACCTACATTGTCACATAGGAGCACCAACTCCTAAATCATCCTGTGCAGAATCCAGTTCCAGCTCAACACAAGGACACTTACAGATACCCCACAGGCACCTAACCCCCACCACTCCTCTTTCTAGTAACTGTACACGGGTTATCACCTTTTTTTTTTCATCTCTCACATTCCCTTAATGAGTATGCCCACTTCCTTTTCTTCCTCTCTCACATTGCTCAGTGAGTATGCCTTATCTCCTGAATTTGGCCTCTATTTCACCTTGGAACAACCTCTACTCCTGCAGTCTTGTCCCAAACACTTCATCACCTGCTATCTTTACATCCTATCCTCCAGCCTCCTGCTATGCTCTTTACTTTTGAACATGTAATTGCCATTTTTTAATTGAAGGATAATTGCTTTACAATACTGTTGGTTCCTGCCATACATCATGAATCAGCCACAACTATGTCCTTTTCCTCTTTAACTTCCCTCCCACTGTCTTAAATGATGTCTTCCTTCCCTTCTCTACTTACCCTTACCTTCCCCTTCAGCTCAGATGTCACTTTTTCATGAAAAACTTATGTCATACCATGTAAGAAGCTGTGCATGTAATTTGTGTAATTCGTACTTAGTTCCCTTCCCCAGTAATATGTATGCTCTGTGAGGAAAGGGTTTTGTTTACCTACCATGTAGTAGGTACTTTATTTTTGGACATCTCCAGCCTGAGCCCTTGAGTATGGTGGGGACAAGACTTGTCTTTCAGTGATTTACTAAGCTCTGTGAGATTTAACATAAACTCAGTGCAACATTAGCATTGTGGCAGTGGTTCCATCCACCTCCTGTACAATTTCTTCTTCTAGGCTGAGTATCCTTATCATCTCTTGGCTTTCTTTTAATTTTCCCCCCATTTTCCACTACAGGATACACCAGGAATTGGTAATATACACTCAGGTAAGGCCCATGGCAATGTTTCTCAAACTGTAAGAGGGTTTTTTGAGTTGTAGGTCTTTCGCTGGTAGGAGGGTACCCGACACCTGTGTCAGATGCATCTAACTCAGAAAAGTAACAGACATGTTTACCTGCTTACCAGGTTTTTTTTTAACTTTCATATCTAAGATGTTTTAAAGTTAGTAAATGTGTTGGGACATGGTAATTCTTTTTTTCTTTTTATTGTTCTTAATTTATTTTCTTATCCAATTGGCTACTTATTCACCAGGGATGTTTTACTTGGCAGTGAAATAGTATATGATAATTTTGCCAACATTTGTTATCTTTCTTGATGTCTTTCTCACATCTTTTTTTTTTTTTTTTTTTAGTATTAGCAGCTTTATTCCTCCCCCAATTATTTTTATTAGTTGGAGGCTAATTACTTTACAATATTGTAGTGGTTTTTGCCATACATTGACATGAATCGGCCATGGATTTACATGTGTTCCCCATCCCAAGCCCCCTCCCCATCCCATCCCTCTGGGTCATCCCAGTGCACCACTTGTCTCATGCATCCAACCTGGACTGGTGATCTGTTTCACACTTGATAATATACAGGGACATGGTAATTCTTATGTGGGTTTTTGTTCAACCTCTGTGTTTTTAAAAATAATATGCGTAATATTTTTATATTAAAGAAAAATAACTAAGGATAATTCTTTTATAGCAAGAATACATGCGGTTGTGGAAAAGGGTATAAAAAAAGGGTATAAACTAAATAGGGTCCTACTGTATAGCACAGGGAACTGTATTTAATATCTAAAACTACTTGTCTCTGTACCTTACATAATGCCCACCATAGTAGCATTAGACCTGCCACAGCCACACAGCCTCTTTGTGTTTCAACTAAGGGAAAAAAATATTTTGCTTGAAAAATGGAACACTGTGAAACTTTAGCATAATAAACATGTTTTTCAAAAAAAGAAAAGCATCTGATGAAGAAACTATCTTCAACATATGAAGACCTCTCAAAACTCAACAGCCTTCCCAGGTGGCACTAGCGGTAAAGAACCTGCGTGCCAATGCAGATTTAAGAGAGATGGGTTTGATCCCTGGGTTGGGAAGGTCCCCCGCAAGGGTCATGGCAGCTCACTCCAGTATTCTTGCCTGGAAAACCCCATGGACAGAGAAGCCCAGTGGGCTACAGTCCAGAGTCAGACACAACTCAAGCAACTTAAGTGCAGCACAAAACTCAATAAAGGCATTTAAAATAGCTAGAACTATGAACTTATCTGGTGCTTCAGTGGTTAAGGCTCTGCACTCAATGCACGAGGTGTGGGTTTGATCCCTGGACAGGGAACAAGTTGACCATGTCACACAGCAAAAAAAAAAAAAAAAAGTATGTATGCAGAACTCATAACCTGCTGGTGAGAATGCAAAATGATGTAACTACTTTGGAAGAGTTCAGCAGTTTCTTTAAAAGTTGAAAAAATCTAAACGCGCCCCAGCAAATTTGAACAATTCAAAGAATACTCAACAAGGAAGGAATGACTGATACATGCAGCACACAATCTCAGAATATGCTAAAAGGTAGACAAGAGTACATATTATATTTCATTTATGCAAAATTATAGAAGAGGCAAACTAATCTATGGCAACAGAACACACATCAGTGGTTGCCCGGGCCTGGGAAAGGGGTATAAAGGAGGTGCGCTAAAAAACCAATTTAAAGTGGCACAAGGATACACGGTGTGATTTTATTCCAAACATTTCAAATTGTACACCTTAAATGCGTGCAATTTGTTATGTCATGCCCGCAATAAGCTTAAGCCTAATTCCCATGGTCCAGAAGTCCTGAAATGTTTTCATTTCTGCTTAAAAGGTCTTCCTTTTCCAGGTGCCACACCTCCCTGGATGGTCCAAGATGAGGACTATAGCTCCGGGAACCAACAAATAGGACCCTCCTATGAAGAGTTTCTCAAAGAAAGTAAGTTAATACAGGAATGGTGATGAAGGCTTCCTACTCTTTAAGTCTTCCTACTCAAATAAAACTACTCATTGTAGAGGAAAAACAGAAACTGAAGAAGCTCCCACCAGACAGAGTTGGGGCCAACTTTGACCATAGCTCCAGCACCAGTGCTGGCTGGCTGCCCTCTTTTGGCCGGGTCTGGAATAATGGACGCCGCTGGCAATCCAGGTATGAGCCCAGTGTCAGGAGCCCAACCTGCTCCCCCCCGTGGAGATCTCACTCTTTGTGCTGCTAACCTTTCATTTCTTTTCAGGCATCAATTCAAAACTGAAGCTGCAGCAAGAAACAAACAGCAGTCACATAAAGGAAAAAAGCTAATGGCTTCCTGATGTATTTCCAACCACTATAAGGCTCAAAGCCAAGACAACAAATCTGTTACATGCTATTATCCTGTAACTGCCTTTCTTAGGAAACAGACAAACCCACTTATTTGATTTAATAAAGTTTTATTTTTCAAAATGTACAGCTGGTGGGACCTGTTAAAAAAAAAAAATCAAATCAGAACTATAGACCCTTGTGAAGGGGATGTGTACTTCGTAGAGGAGCCCCAGGTTCACGAACTTTATCAGCTCACCTGTTCATGCATCTTCACCAGCAGCTGGGGCATCTCCACCCTTGGTGTTTCTGGTGTAAATCACTTGAGCTCTGTGCTTTGAAACCAGTTTAATAAGTCCTAGAAAGAGAGAATAAAATTTTCACACAATAGTACTATAAAAACTCAACAAACTAAAAATTCTTAATTTAAGCATGAGTTTACGAGACATGCCTATATTTCTTGGTGTAATCTAACCTGACTCACCCCTTAAAAAGAAGGGACTCATTACCAGCTCTTGGGATGACTACCCTCACAACACTTTACTGTAACTTGAAAATCACTGTTTCCACTTAGGCACTACCAATAGCCTAAATAACATGCTAGAATTGTATTGCTAACCTCCACCTACTGCATTTAAAATGGCTAACATGGTCAGCCCAAACTAAGGTGCAAAAAGCATACAGACCAGTACAACACACCCTCCTCTCACCTTTACTGAGGAGTTCCTGAAGGGCTGCTCTGGCCAGGGAACCACGAATCTTCAGTCTCTCAGAGACGACAGCTGGAGTTATAAGCTTGTAGTTGGGAACTTCTTTACAGAGTTTGTCATATGTTGCTTTGTCAAACAAGACTAGGTTATTGAGCTTGTCCCGAACTTTGCCTTTGGACCACTTCTGCTCACCACAAAAAAAAAAGAAAAAGGGGGAAAAAAAAAAAAAATCAGTGTTCTAAGGACCAGTATTTCCCTTCTCTGGAACAACCTGACTCAAAGAATTGTTACACGGTTGCAGAGTTATACAAGAGTGGGTCTGTCCCTTGGGCTGCAGAAACCTATAAAATTCAGAATCTGCAAACAGAGCAAATGAAGGCTCAACTAATCATAGAGCCAAGTTCAAAGTATAAGAGACCCTGGATATTGCTGAAGGCACCGGAGACATTACGTTGGGGGGAAAATAAACTATCTTTGAGGCTTTCGGATATTGGCTGAGCCCCACTAGCCCAATTAAAGTAGCTCAGTACACACTTTTTCATTTCCGAGTAGCATATACACCCCCAAACCAAAATGGTGATGTGAGTGTAAACTCTCAATAACCTGACTCTAAACCCCACAACCTTACAAGCCATTTGTTACAGTATAGGGAAATGAGACTAGACGCCCCCAACATCCCTCACCGTTTGAGGGGCTTTACTCCTACCTTTTTTTTGGCCTTGCCCCCAGATTTGTTCACTGGATCTTTGTCTTTCTTGGCCGACTTTCCGGCATCTTTCTTCTTCTTGTCGTCCTTGGGCGGCTGTAGGAGAAAAGCCGGAATGCGGCCAGGTCACAAGGCAGCCCTCCACGCTCCCGCTACTCCTTCGCCCCTCACCCTGCCCAGACTCCACTACCGGAGCACATGGGGGAAGCTACAGCCCTCCCATCTCCACACGTGGCCTGGCAGTTGTGTGAGCCCTCCGCCGATGCTGCCCCAAACGCGCGCCGGCACCGCCTGCTCCCAGAACCACAACAGTTTCCCCTACACCGAGCTCACCATAGTGAAGGCCGGAGAACAACTGCGACCACTGCCGCCTTTCTAAGATGTCGGATAAAAAGGAAGTGCGCCCCGTGAGCAAGCCCAGAAACCTCCGACTGCAGCGATTGCTTCCGGGACAAGGGGCGGAGCCGCGCGGAGGAAGTCCGGAGGCACGGTTGGGCTCAGGCCCGGAACTAGCTACGGAAGCAGGGTCCACCTCCGCAACGTCACACTCTCGGCGTTATCCCTGACTTTTCGATTTTGCGGCCAGTTCTGAGGCAGTCACGTTTTACACTTTCCTGGCGCTTAGATCCGGTAAAAAAGAAAGGAGAACAATTTTATAGGTCCCGGCATCTAAAGTCCCTGTGTTAGTGGCACTCAGGCGTGCTCAAGTGCGCAAGGGTCTCAGCGGGCCCCGCGGGACGAGGAACGGAAGCACGGTCTGGAGCGCGAGAGCGGGTCCCGTGCTGTGCTTCCGGGGCGGGGGCCGGGAGGAAGAGGCTGTGCCCTAGTCCGGCAGCCTCAGCTGCAGCTATGGCTATTTTCAGTGTTTATGTGGTGAACAAAGCTGGCGGTCTTATTTACCAGTTGGACAGCTACGCCCCACGGGCCGAGGCTGAGAAAACTTTCAGCTACCCGTTGGATCTGCTGCTTAAGCTGCACGACGAGCGTGTGCTGGTAGCTTTTGGCCAGCGAGACGGCATCCGGGGTGGGTTAGGCTCGTTCCCGGGGCGCTGGGTTGGGGGGGATGAGGCGGGGCCAGGTGCTGCCTTGGTGGGCTGCTATCTCTGGGAGGGCAGCGGATGAAATTGGGGGCCGGGTCATTTGTACTGTTGGCGGGATCCGCAGTCTGAGGCTTTGTTGACCCTTAACTTCGCCATTGCAGTGGGCCACGCAGTGCTGGCTATCAATGGTGTGGACGTGAATGGCAAGTATACGGCCGATGGGAAAGAGGTGCTGGAGTACCTGGGCAACCCTGCTAACTACCCAGTGTCCATTCGGTTCGGCCGCCCTCGCCTCACCTCCAATGAGAAGCTCATGCTGGCCTCCATGTTCCACTCGTAAGTCCCACAACTCTTCCTAGATTCTGTCCGTCAACTCTTGGCTCATAGGCTGACTGGATTAGTGTAGTTCGGCGCTCAGAGACTTGCTGACTGGCGGTGCTTACCTTTCTCTAAAAAAGTAACACAGCCCTTTAGCTGTGTCCCACTCTTTGTAACCCCCCTCCCACCTGCCATGGACTGTAGCTCACCAGACTCCTCTGTCCATAGAGTTCTCAAGGCAAGAATATTGGAATGGGTAGCCATTCTCTTCTCCAAGAGATCTTCCCGTCCCCCAGGGATGGAACCTGGGTCTCCTGCATTGCAAAGGAATTCTTTACCATTTATTTGAGCCACCAGGGACACCCCATCTACATAAATCCATTCCATAATTGTGGGAGATTTTATTCCTTGGCTAAACCTTTGCTTGGTTTTCTGATTGAGCTTGAGTATTAGAAGAAAACTCATTTATGACTGGGGTCAGAGTAGTTATTATCAGTTGGCCTGGTGAGGGGAGTCCATCTAGTCATACCAAGAGTGACCTGAACATAACTATAATTTTTCTTTAAAGTAAATTTTCTCAGGGCCAGCCAGTTAGAGCATTTGAGGGGTGAAGTCCACCAAGGTAACCCAGAACTACTAGACATAGTTAATTGGTCACAAACCCAACAATTGGATTGATTTCTAAAACTAGCATAGGATCATGCCTATGATAGAAAAACATTTGATTTGTATGCTAAGATTCAAGAAGTCAAGAAAATATTAATGATCGTACAAGTTGTGTCAAGGATCTTGGGCAAGCTGTCCACCTCCAATGTCTTTTATTCTCCATCTGAGTGTAGGGTCCCATCAGCCTTCTCTACCTCCTCCTAAATTGTCAGTTCTGTGTCATGAAAAGAATTGATCCAGTATGACAAGGCTTTAGGTAATGCTGGCAGTGGTGTGATTTTGTTTGCCTAAGTTACCTTCTTTCTTGAGTTTTAATATGTTCATCTTTAAAGTAAGGTGATTAAATGATCTTTAAGATCTTTTCCTGCTGTCAGTTGTATCATAAGATGTGTTGGATATGCATAGTCAGCTGGTGGGTAAACATGGCATGGTAATCCCAGAGTGTTAATTTTACCCAGAGTTTTCAATGTAGTATGTTTTATAGCAAAATGTGATTGTAAAATACATGCAGAGTTCAAATGAATTCTTAGGAAATTTTGATACTGCTGCCAGGCAGTTCACACTGTTGCTTCTATTTCAAGCTGTAATTTTAAGTGTTCAGAAGGTAAGGGTCACCTCGGTGGAAAAGTTTGAGAAGCACTCCTCCCTTATAGCAATGAGGTGCATTCCCAACTTTGCCTTTCTTGCAAATAGGCTGTTCGCCATTGGCTCCCAGCTGTCTCCTGAACAGGGCAGCTCAGGCATTGAGATGCTGGAGACAGATACATTCAAACTGCACTGCTTCCAGACACTGACAGGTATGCGCTTCCAGACAGGCCAAAGGCATGCGATGGGTCTGGTTGGAGGAAGGCATTAACCAAAGTTGGCTCTGGTAAGCAAGGGGGTGGTGGTTAGCCTTTTCTGGGACAAGTGCACAGTTATTTGTTTTGTGAATCTAAAGCCAATATTTAATCTTGACGCCAGTTTTGTCCATGCTCAGCCCTCGTTATCCTGTGCACAGATAAACTCACCTTAGTGTTCTCTCATGTTGCACACATTTTGGAAGGTGTAAGTGTTGTTCCAAAATAAAATTGGAATGCCAGTTGAAAATGGCCTTTGGATCCTGAGTGGCATTGCCTCACTTCGTGAAGGCAGAGCACGGAAAACTGCGTGAGTTTGTTCCCTGCCTGGCACTTTGTGCTGAGGGGCACCCAGGCCAGAAGTAAGCAACAGAGCTAGAACCCAAAGCCCAGTCACTCCATGAGCTGGGTGGTGCTATAAAGTCATTTCACTTCTCTGCTCTCCCCTGTAAATTCAAAGTCTTGCTTTTCATGGTTTATGAGGCAATAAGGATAAAATGAAAATGAGCATAAAAAGTGCTGTACAAACAGCACAGTTTTATTTGCTGATTCTCTACCCTTTGGTAATCATTGGTCCCTCTCCAGGGATAAAGTTTGTGGTGCTGGCGGATCCTAGGCAGGCTGGGATAGATTCTCTTCTCCGAAAAATTTATGAGATTTACTCAGACTTTGCCCTGAAGAATCCATTTTACTCCCTGGAAATGCCCATCAGGTAAGCGGTCCCAGTCTGCAGATTCTGGTCAAAGCCTCCTTGTTTCCTCTCCTTGTATTTGCTTCTCCAATGTCATTTTGAAGTGTAATAGTTATTTTTAAATAAAAAGTAACTAGCCTTTCACTTATTCTTTTGAGAAAGCAAGGACTTTCCTTGAGTTTGATGGCCTTCAAGCAGAGTTTCCACTGCCTCTGCCTTTGTACCCACGGTGGGGAGAGAGCCAGGCCTAACACTTTGTCTTTACTTGTGCCTCCTGGGCCTGGCCTAGGTGTGAACTGTTTGACCAGAACCTGAAGTTAGCCCTGGAGGTGGCAGAGAAGGCTGGAACCTTTGGACCTGGGTCTTAGGCTGAACCTACAGCGGACCCCACCAAATTCTTGAGAGATCCTACATCAGGAATCCTGCGGTTTCCACTTTGATGGAGATCCCGGCAGCATTGTTAGTGCACTTGAAAATGGGAGGATGCTGAGCCTGATGACATGTTCTGATTCTCTCTTTCCTCCTATATCTGTCATGGTCCTACTTCCCAACTCTGTACAGGTTATTTATAGGAGGTAGGCCCATAAATGTTGTAATAAACATTCCTTTGAGCTCAGTGTTTGCTATCCTAATTGATGCTTTGGGGGAGAAAGCCTCAGAAGGGGAAACAGGAATGATAAGGGAATTCAAGGAAGCTGAGATACTGTGTTCCAGTAGAAAACAAAACAAATATATATTCATTAAGCGAATGAATGAACACAGGACTTTGAAGCAGGAGTCTTGGATTGCCACTGACTTCCTGGGTGGTGTGGTAGTGATGATGATAATGAAAACAATAATGGAACATTTATCAAGGGCTCACAGCCAGATTTTACTGCTTTATCTCACTTCATCCTCTCCCTTAGCTCAGGATGTTCATCCTGTTTGTGTTACAGACAAGATTTAGCAAAGTACAAACTCTCTGCTTCAAAGTCTCAAAGCTAGTTACCAGTAGACCTTGAACCTAGACTTTCTGACTATACTGTTGCCTCCCTCCAGCAAGTTATTTAAACTGCCTGACACCCAGTAGTGTCATCTCTAAAAATGTGCATTGAATTCTGCAGTATGAAGTTGAAGGCAGAAGAGGCAGGAGCTTAAAGGAGTCCATTTACCCTTCAGCTTTCCCTCGCTCTCTTGGGGTAGAGAATGCAGGTATTAAGGGAGTATTTCTCAAAGCTATCTCTGTATTACACCTTTTGAAAGAATGATTCACTGACAAGGTTAGTATCAAATCTAGTTTTAATTCTCTGTAACAAATCTTTCTACCCTCCCACCTATTGTATCCTTGTATTGGTGAGAGTGACCTTTTGGCCCTGAACTCCAAGGTATTGGTAGGAGCAGTTGCCTCCTTGCTGAGGCCTTCTGGCAGAAGTCTCGGGCCATGGTTGCCCAGCCGCTGCAGGCAGGAGATGCCTCACCTCAGGTGAGGATGGGGTGAGATGGAGACAGGGTGGGGCTCAGGAGAGGGAGAAGGGTATAGGAGACTTCCTGAGTGCAGGGGGTTCCTATTTGAAGGCAGGAAATAGGAGCTAATGGAGTCCAAGAACAAAGGTTGTCCTTTAAATAGAGATGAGATGAGCTGGGACCTCATTAACTACTGATAACTTCCAGTGCCATGTAGATAAGGGAAAAGGAGCAGAAAGGGAAAGTAAAAGGTGCTAGTGAAGACGGCCCCCTCACTTCTTTCCCTCCCTACCACCACGGAGGGGAAAGGCCACAAGTAGGACAGCATGCTCTGGAGCCTGCACTGTCTTCACTCAGCCTTCTTGGGCACTCGGCCCATCTTGGTGCGGATGTTTCGTAGAAGGAAGAAGGCACCTGTGCTGGCCGCACAGATCACCTCAGCCACCCAGAAGGCTGTGCTCCAACTGTAATGTTTGGCAATCGTGCTGAAGGGCAACCCAGCCAGAAAGCCGCCCACTGTCAGGGAGAAGAGCCCGTGTCACTGTGAGGCTGGAGCCAGAGGGGCTTAATTCAGCCCCTCGCTGGCCTGAGTGCAAGGCATCAGTGGGGGTATCACTTACCATTGGCCATGAGTCCCACAATGGCATGGGAGGTGCCACACAAGTTTGGAGGGGCACACTCATTGGCTATAACTCCAAACAAGGCGATGGGACCATAAGAGGAGAAACCAAACACAGCTCCCAACACCAGGATCCAGAGCTGTAAGGGCAGTGCAGGGTGGCAGTTAGAGTCAGAAAGACTGCTACCTACCTGCCCTTGCCACAGGAGAGAATGCTTGGCGCCGGGAACAAATAGTAGTTGTAAGGAGAAAGTGGCTCCCACATACAGACCGCTTCCCAGTACAACTGACTACAGACTGGAGGAGCGGCGGCCACACTAAGCCAACCTAAGGGACCTGTGTGGGTAGGTGAGGAAGGTAGAGAAGCCATCCCTCTCAAGTTAGATGCTGTCCCCTCTCAGGATTTGTGCAAGCCAGATTGGCTGGGGACAAGGCAGAGCGGGGTAAGATAAAGGTGAGACAAGGCCAAGAGAAAAACCAGAGATAAAGATGGAGCACCTCATTCTCTGTAAAGCCTGTGAGCTCAGCAAGAGGGTGAAGAGCTGGAGTCCAGAAAGCAATATCCTAGAGGAGCACAGAGAGAAGAAGAAACCAGGCCCAGAGTCAAGGAGGATCACCAGAGTAAAGAAGAGGGGAACTGAGGTACAAACAACTGAAAAGGACAGTCTGAAGCAGAAAAAGGCCAGGGAGAGGGGGAGAGAGTCAGTGGCCCTTGCTTTCTCATCCTTGTCCCTGCCGTGAGCCAGGCCCTCTTTACTTACCTTGGGGGAGTCACTGGTCACAGTGACCCGGAAGAGGTACATGGATGCCGTCATGCCAGCCATCATGAATAGCAGCAGGCCATGGCGGGGATTCCCGTAGATGGACAGCTCTGCCTGTGGGCACAGTCCTGGCAATGTCAGGCCCCAGGAGCAGCAGAGAACCCCCACCCCTGGACTCTGACACAGCAGGCCTCTGCTGACTGGTCTTTGGCAATCCCACTGCAGTTCTTGGCCCAGGGCAGCTCTGGGAGGCCCTGGGACCTGCTTATGTTCTGAGGCCAAACTCCACAACATCCCTTCCTCCACCTGGGCAGGCTCGAGGACATGGGCTGGCAGGCTGCACCTGGTTTTCCTGGGGCTGTGGAGAAGCTAGGTGGAGAGAAATGCTGACTCTCCTTGACATCATTTAGCTTCAACTCCACATTCTTAATGAAGAAAAATATCCTGGAAACATTCCCACCTCACCCGGCCTAAACCAGCACATGCCAGGCTACATGTGCCCAAGGCTAACACTTCTGGTGTCCCAGTCATGCTGGGAAGATTTAAAGGGACCCTCCTCCTTCCTGTCCCTTCTGCCCACTCACCTTGGCCATGGCCCGGTCTGACAGGTAGCCAGCTGCGATGCTGCCTACAAGGCCCCCAACCTCCAGGGCACTCATGTAGGAGCTACCTGCAGTGAGGAGTTGCAGTGGGAAGAGGGAAAGGGAGGGTGGAAGGGCGTTACACCTTGGGGTTGTCCCAGACTGGCTTAAACCCAGATAGGCACAGGGTCCCCAAGCGTGACTGACTACAGCTGCCTGAGTAGTGTCTAGCCTCAGGGAAAGAGGAGAGGGGACAAAGGGAACTGGGCCTGAATTTCCCATCCCCTGCACTGGCTCCTGCTCCCTAGGCCGGCCCCATCCCAACACTCATCTCACCCACGAGGGCAGACTGTCCTCTCTCCTGGATGAGGAAGAACTGGCCCCAGTCAGTACAGCACGTTTTTACTCCAAACACCACAAGGTAGCCAGTGGAGAGCACCCACAGGTAAGGGGTCAGCAGCAGCTCCTGTAAGGTACTCTCCTCCTTCGAGGAGCCTGGGGGTGGGAGGAGGCCAGGCCTCAGACTCTGCTCCAGCTGCCCTGCCCACCTCAAGCCCCCACCACTCATTAACTAGCCACAGGGACAGAGTCCATCCACATACACAAGGATCAGCACAAAGGTAACCCCTCACCTACTGTTCTGCCCTCTCCCCTCCACTGAATGTGAGGACCAGTAAGGATGGAAGAGGTACCCAAGACACTTAAGCTTAGGATGCTGTCCACACAAGGAAGTGTGGCTTTGTTATAAGGAAGGACCAGGCTATAACATGAGTCATAGCATTTGTTGGCTCTGCCACTTGTCTGGCACTTAACTGTCTCTCAGGATGGAGTTTTACTTACTCCCCACCCACTCCATCACCATCCCTCCCCTGACATCCATTGGCTAGCACAGGGCCAAGCATACAGCCATCTTCAGCGAGAGTCTGCCAGGTGAATGATGAAGGTTCCCAGAGGGTAGCTTCAGTGGGTACTCACCCTTCTTGCCCTTGGAGGGGGTGGGATCCAGGTTTTGGAGTCCAACATCAGCAGGTTCATTGTGGATGAGCAGGAGACAGAGGAAGGAGACAGCTACACACAGTGCCCCAGACAGGGCCAGCGTGGTGCGCCAGCTGTAACTCTGGGCGAGGATGGTTGCCAGGATGGGGCCCAGCCCTCCAGCCAGGTTCATGCTGGTTGACAGGATGGCCCACCAAGTGCCAAACTGAGATGGCTCAAACCACTGTGGGGCAGAGAGGAACAGAGTAGGTGCCCAGCCTCCAGTCCATACGGAAGGTGGGGTCAGGTGGGACAGACCCAGGAGCTCACGTTACAGGAAGGAGGGAGAGGGCGCTTCTACTTGGCAAGGCCAATTCCCTCGTCTGCCACCTGATCCCACCACATTCAGCTTCCTAAAATATCTTGACAAGCAACAGGAGCTGGGCTGAAACTCCTGAGGAAACTGCTCTGGGGTGGAGGTGCCGGTGTACCCATGTAGTCTTTAGGTGTCCTCTCTGCCAATCTGAACCGGCTCCTTGGAAGCAGACACTCACCTTCCGCAGGATCTTGCCACATGGGGGCCAGCCCAGCCCCTGTGCCAGGCCATTGAGGAACCAGAGAGCAGCAAAGACAGGCACTGCGGAGCTCCAGGAAAAGGCTACATTGACCAGGCCAACCAGGAGAAGCCCAGAAGAGAATAGCCAGCGAGCACTCATCTGGTCAGATAGCACCCCGCTCACAAACTTGCTGATGGCGTAGGCAGCGGACTGGCTGCTGGTGATGAGCCCTGCAGAGGAGGGGAGCAGGGAGCAGGACACCTGGGGGGTTAGGGACAGGGCAAAGGCACAGGAGGGTGGAGGAAGTCATGGGGTCAGGTGTGTAGAGGTGCCTGGCAGGTGAGACAGGTTCCTTCCAAGAGGAAGGATTCCTGACATTCATTCATGGTGCCAGGCTATTCCTCCTATCTCTCTATTAGCATTAGCCCCAGGCTGACCCATGACTTGTCAGCGTCTTGGAGAGTTCTAGCAGCAGCTGTCGGGGGCAGGACAGCCCTCCTCCCTGTGATTCTCATATACCTGATTTCCCCCTCACTCGGCCTCTCGCAGTTCTGTTGCCCCACCTCTGAACATGGGGCAAAGGCTTAGAATTGGAGTCAAGGACCTTATTCCTCCTGAAGGGATAGCCTGCTAGACCACATGGAGTCATTGTGCCAACTCCGCGGTTCCCAGCGCTCACTGTCAGCAGCCAGCACTCACCCTGTGGTCTAAGCCTGCACCCACAAAGTGCAGAAACTGCTCAGAATTCCCCTAACACACAGTGCCTCCGAGACACCTGTTGGTCACAGGCACCCATGCATGCACACACATGCGCACACACATCAGAAACGCAGCCGTCAGACATGCATAGACCATACCCACAGTCCTTTACCAGGGCCCACTGACATGGATCTCAGAGCTTCTTCATCCTGCACATGCACTGGCTCAGCTGTGCAGACAATCCACACATATTCCGTGCCTATACCCACCACACTGCACAGACACCCAGCTTGTCCTGCTGGTCCTGTGTTCTTGGGCCCACCACCCGGCCCTGCCAGGACTCACCCAAGTCATCTTTGTCCAGAGGGATCTCCTCCACCAACGACGGCATGACAAAGGAGAAGGTCTTGCGGTTGAAGTAGTACAGGCTGTAGCCTCCAAACATGGCCGAGAAGATCACGGTTCGGTAATAGCCATAGCCGCGGGCTGCCATGGTGGCAGGCAGCAGGCCCTACTGGCTGGGACACAAAGGCTCTGACCACGGCTGGGGCTGGCGGGCTCTCAGTGCCAGGTCTGCTGAGTTAGGCTTTTTCTGCTCCCTCCTCCACCCAGCCTCCCTTTATAGCCTCCTTCTGGACAATCATTAAGCCTGGGGCGGCTCCTAGGGAACCCGGTGTCCTGAGGGAGACAAGAAAATAGGAGATTACTGACGCCCAAGCTGTGGGGGCTGGAGGGGGTTCGGGAGGGAAGGCAGTGTCCCTGACCTAGGCCAGCACCTGGTGTCCCCAGGATTTCTTTCACGGCGCTTCCGCCTCCGCGAGCCTATGAGACCAGCGGTGATTAAAGACTTAACCTAATTACTTTTGTCTCCTTGCGCCCAGGGGAGGCAGGGGTGGAATGATCCAGCCGGCTTCCTCAGCCACTTACCTCATTCATTCAGGGAAAGTTTATTGAGGGATTACTGGTTGCGAGGCACCGCACTAGGTGCTGGGTTAGTTTCTACACATACACATTCAATCAGACACGAACGCCAAACAACCTCTCTTCCAAGTCTTCCAGAGCTGACTTCAAGCCCTGTAACTCCCGAGGCTTTTTAGCACACGGTGGGGTGTAACTGTGTATTGATAGTTGCAGAACTGTAAGCAAGGCGAGGCAGGAGAAACTCCCCAGCTCAAGACACACAGTGTCACATCGAACGCCCCGCTAGGGGCTGAGGTCTGATCGCCTTTATTCTTGACGTCAGTATGGGCTCGGGGTCTGGCAGGCTGGGGCTTCAGGGACCGTGACCGGACGGCCCGTGGGCGGGAAGGTGCAGCGGCGGACTCCCGGCGCAGTGCCCAAGCTTCCCGCTTCCCAGGGCTCCGGCAACACGTCCCCCGGCTTTTCGGCTCGGTGGGGAAAGCAACTGGAGCAGAAGGCGTGGGCGCAAGCGGAGCAGTTGGCCGCTCGGAGGCCCCAAAGACCCCTTGCTTCGGCGGCCGAGTGGCTCGGCCTGGCGGGGTGGAACCGAGCGGTAAGAAGGGGAAGGAGGGAGCGAGGCGGCGTGCTCTCGGCACCTGCCCAGCCCCGTGTCCTCAAGCTACCCAGGACACCCGACTCCGGCTGGGAATGGACGAGGGCCCGAGTGCAGGGGCTGGAGTGGTGCGGAGACCCCAGGCCTCGTGCAACACAAAGGAGCCGGCGCGGTCTGGTCCCAGACAGCGAGTGCCCCTGCCCCCGAACCGGCAGCCGCAGAGACAGCTCTGTGCAGTAGAAAGTTGGACCTCGGACAAAAGAGCCGCAACACCCGAGACTCGCGCCCCAGTTCCGCCCTCAGGAGACGCCCCTCCCCCGCACACCGCCCCCTACCTGAACAGAGGTGGGAGCCGGAGTAGCAAGGGGCGGGGCCGGCCGGGCCTGCCGGGCGCATGCGCCTGCGCCCTGGATGGGGCGGGGCCTCCGCCTGCGACTTGCAGTCCTGAGAGTCAATCCTGCTCTAATGGTTTAGGTTTAATCTTGCGGGTCACCCTGGTCCTCGGAGGAGGACAGCGCCGCTTAGGGGTTGGAGTCATATGTTCCCTTCTTAACTGATGGGCTTCGAGAAACCATTTTGTAGTGAGTGCCTCCCGCTACCAGTCACTGCTCTCACATCGTCTGGGAGATGTCTTATGTTTTCTGTAAGAAATTAATGCAGGCCTCAGTAAGCACAATTTGAACATTTATTTTGTGGTCAGACTGTTGGGGACATAGTTAAAATAGCTGGAGTGTTTAAAGTGTGGACCCTGAGTAAAGCTTAAATTTGAATTTCAGACCCACTACTTCGAACAGCGTGACCCTGGGTAATTAATAATCTCTATGAGTCCCAGTTTCTTACCAACCTCATAGGGTGATTGTGAGGGTGGAACAGATTTAGAGCTCCGAAAATTTAGATAACTGCTTTCACCGAATATATAAAAGAATTGCTGAAATTATTTTAAGTGCTTCAAAGTTGAGAGTAAAGATGTGTTTTGTTTTGTTTTTTAATCAATTATCTATTTTTTGGCTGCTCTGGATCTTCAGTTGCTGTGTGGGCTTTCTCTAGTTGTGGTGAGCGGGATCTACTCTCTCATTTTGGTGTGCCTGCTTCTCGTTGCGGTGGCTTTGCTTGTTGCTAAGCATGGGCTCTAGGGTGCATGGGCTCAGTAGTTGTGGTGCACACAGGTTGCCCCATGACATGTGGGTTCCTCCTGGACCAGGGGTTGAATCCGTGTCCCCTGCACTGGCAGGCGGATTCTTAACCACTGGACCACTAGGGAAGTCCCAAAAGTAAAGTTCTTTTAGAGTGATGTTAAAAAATATAGCAACAGGTCCAAAATTGAGTTGCTTATGCTAAGCCCCATGTCAACAAAGGGAGACTTCAATACAGTTTTGCCTCTCCCAGAAATGGGATCTTAAATAAGTTATTCAGGAGTTGCCTGATCAGTACTAGTTATGTCATCTACCTGATAGATCCTCTATCATTCCCTAAAGGAAAGTAACCTGGTAATAACCAATCTGCTTTTTGCCTAGTTTAATTTCTTGTTCCTTCTACCTATAAAAGCCTTTCATTTTGTACAGCTCCTCAGAGTGCCTTTCTAAGTGCTAAATTGGATGTGTCCTGATTTATAAATTGTTGAATAAAGTCAATAAGATCTTTAGAATTTACTCAGTTGAATTTTGTTTTTTAACAGCAGAAAAATGATCAGGAAAGGGAAGAGGTGGAGGAGAGGCAAGATAAGATGGGACAATTTGTGGCTGAACTTGATTAATTGAACAGGTATCTACTGAGCCAGAGCCTAGTGTATATCAGGCACCGGTGCTTTCAAGAGGTAGAGCCCAGGGCCAGGAAAACGACTCTCTCCAAAACCAAGCCATATTAGAATCCTTACTTCACCTAGCAGACAGGGAGCCGTTGTTCCCCCCCCTCACTTATTGTTAAGGTATAAAATAAAAACCGTACGAAAACAAAACAAAAAAAAGTTCAAATCTTAAGCGTACAGCTCAATGTTTTGTTTTTTAAAAACATACGTTAATGCCCTTGTAACTACTGCTCAAATTAAGTTAACTTTCCTATCACTTTATTTTAGAAATGTTCAAACCAATGGAAAAGTTGCAAGAAAACCCTTCACCTCTCAACTGTTAAATTTTTTGCTATGTTTTGAAAATCTCTGTATAACTATACATGTGTTTGTTGTTGAATCATTTGAAAGTTACTTGAAGGCATTGTGAAGCTTCACCCCTCTATATTTTAGCCTGTATTGCCCTAAGAACAAGGGCATTCTCCTATATAACTAACTACAATTCTCACATTCAAAAAAAATGTTTTTGTTAATATATAGTCCATATTTAAATGTCTCCAATTTTTCCAAAGATGTCTTTTAGAGCTTTAAAAAAATCTAGAATCCAGTCAAGGATTATATATTGCACATCAGTCAGTCAGTCCAGTCACTCAGCCATGTCTGACTCTTTTCAACCCTATGGACTGGAGCACCCCAGGCCTCCATGTAAATCACCAACTCTCAGAGTTTACTCAAACTCATCTCCGTTGAGTTGGTGATGCCATACAATCATCTCATCCTCTGTCACCCCCTTCTCCTGCCTTCAATCTTTCCCAGCATCAGGGTCTTTTCCAATAAGTCAGTTCTTCTCATCAGGTGGCCAAAGTATTGGAGTTTCAGCTTCAGCATCAGTCCTTCCAATGAATATTCAGGACTGGTTTCCTTTAGGATGGACTGGTTGGATCTCCTTGCTGTCCAAGGGGCTCTCAAGAGTCTTCTCCAACACCACAGTTCGAAAGCATTAATTCTTCAGCACTCAACTTTCTTTATGGTCCAACCCTTACATCCGTACATGACTACTGGAAAAACCATAGCTTTGACTAGACAGACTTTTGTTGCCAAAGTAATGTCTCTGCTTTTTAATATGCTGTCTAGGTTGGTCATAGCTTTTCTTCCAAGGAGCAAGCATCTTTTAATTTCATGGCTGCAGTCACCATCTGCAGTGATTTTGGAGCCCCCCAAAATAAAGTCTGTCACTGTTTCCCAATCTATTTGCCATGAAGTGATGGGACCAGATGCCATAATCTTACTTTTCTAAATGTTGAGTTTTAACCCAACTTTTTCACTCTCCTCTTTCACTTTCATCAAGAGGCTCTTTAGTTTTTCTTCACTTTCTGCCATAAGGGTAGTGTCATCTGCATATCTGAGATTATTGATATTTCTCCCAGAAATCTTGATTCCAGCTTGTGCTTCATCCAGTCTGGGATTTTGCATGATGTATTCTGCATTTAAGTTAAATAAGCAGGGTGACAATATACAGCCTTGCAATACTCATTTCCCGATTTGGAACCAGTCTGTTATTCCATGTCCAGTTCTAACTGTTGCTTCTTGATCTGCATACAGATTTCTCAGGAGGGAGGTCAGGTGGTCTGCTATTCCCATCTCTTGAAGAATTTTCCAGTTTGTTGTGATCCACACAGTCAAATGCTTTGGCATAATCAATAAAGCAGAAGTAGATGTTTTTCTGGAACTCTCTTGCTTTTTTCCATGATCCAGTGGATGTTGGCAATTTGATCTCTGGTTCCTCTGCCTTTTCTAAATCCAACTTAAACATCTGGAAGTTCACAGTTCACATACTGTTGAAGCCTGGCTTGGAGAATTTTCAGCATTATTTTGCTAGCATGTGAGATGAGTGCAATTGTGCAGTAGTTTGAACAGTCTTTGCATTGCCTTTCTTCGGGATTGGAATGAAGACTGACCTTTTACAATTCTTTGGCCACTGCTGAGTTTTCCAAATTTACTGGCATATTGAGTGCAGCACTTTGACAGCATCATCTTTTAGGATTTGAAATAGTTCAACTGGAATTCCATCACCTCCACTAGCTTTGAATAGCAAGGAGAGATAAGAAAGCCTTCCTAAGTGATCATTGCAAAGAAATAGAGGAAAAGAATAGACTGGGAAAGACTAGAGACCTCTTCAAGAAAATTATAGATCCCA